ATCGAAAACGAGTGATGTACGAAGTGATTGATGTTTCATGACAATTAGCTGAAGAGCATGTCTAAGTTGTTGAATTGATAAAGTATGCCCGTGGTATAGACGATAAAGGAAAGGCATATGGTAGATTGCCATCAGTGGTTGGTCTGGATTGAAATGAATGCGTTCATCAAGCCAGATACGAGTTTGAGCATTAGAAGCTGGTGCTAAACAAATCAGATATCAGTGTCAAGACTACATTGGTTTTCATTACATAAAAAAGAGGTAGTATGCATTTTCTATTCTATCGTTCGCAAACGTGAATATATGCATAATTGTTTAATCGGTTTTATAATTCGACGATCAATCACGGGTATGTTTCTTTCTCAGTGCTTATGGAGTTGGATTCGTCAAAATATAATGGTCTAAGTATTTATTGACTTTGTTTCAACAGTGAAACAGCAATTACGTTGATTCTGAATGGTGTGGATAGGTATGTAGGTGTTGGTGTGGATGTGGATGGGGGAGTGTTAATGTGGGAGTGAATTGAAGAGAACAAGTGCGCCAACATCCACAGCCACATCATAATTCGAAGGATGAAAATATATTTTACAAGCTTTTGTACAGCTTTTCATATGCATTATGTATTGATCATCTTATTTCTGTTTCAGGTGAGAATGTTCATAAAGGATCTAATTTCTATTACTGATTTTCAAAAAATAAAAAGTTCCATGCATGTCTGTGAGACTACTAAGACGTTGAGACGTTACGACGAAACGAGTTAGAACGTGAAGAGGTAAGGGAAAGATGAGATTGAACGCAGTTAAGCTAAATCTCCGAAGATTTTTCTTAATCAAATTTCATATTGTCGATATCCGCATAGACAATTTATATCTGAATAATTGATTTGAATGCTTCTAATTGGTGTCTTCAGGTTGCTGAATGTTATCTTCTCAACAACTACAGATATGATAAGATGAACAATCGATTAATAGAATAAACTATATCGGAAAAGAAATTTCACGAAGATTCACGATTGATAAAGAAAACAAGCTAGAGAAAAACGCAAAACGTTTTTTCTATGTTTTTATCTATTTACAATTGATTATGAACAATGAATACAGCAATATTATGCATCAATGAGTAAAATTAATGTATGTGCAAAGAGCTGTGATTCTAGCAACGCATACAGTTTATAGAAGACAATGGCACCTTTAGCATTTTGTCACGGTTTTTTACCTATATTTGCTTAAGAATATCATCATAGGATACTTCAGAAACTTTTAGCACATCACTGAGGAAGATTTCAAAATTGATAAGTGTTGTCTGTGACGATGTCTGATAGAAGAAGTGTTAGTGTGGATGGTGATACACTTTATTCTTATCCTTCGTATCATACAATCTCATCGTTTTTACACAAAGCATACGCTTATATACTGTACCATCAGAAAGAAGAAAAGAATATGAAAGGAAAGGATAATACGAACAGAAAGTAGGAGCCATGAGATACAGACAAAATACAGCATGATGTACGAAGTAAGGACAGGACGGTAAGGACAATACATAAGATGAGAAGAAATAGGTAGGAAAAGTCAAACATCATGCATAAAATGCACTCAACCGAGAGTGTTACATTTATCATAACTAATACCATAACTACTTCATAGTCTTTTATATGATCTCAGCATGCACAAACAATGGATATTCATTTATGTCATGCTTTTACTTAAATCATCATGCTCTGCAGCTCTATTGTTCTCTTTCTTCGACTTTAGCAGCATTTTTTTCGAACATTTTTGCGGTCTATACAACACGGGATCGATGTGATTTAGTATATCTCTCAAATATGACACATGCTCATGCAATGGAAGATGAATCAATAAACTCTTGTCTGTAAAGATTGTTATTGAATGCAATAAATTGTTTCGGTTATCAAGTGTATGATGAATTGTGAGATTCTAATGAGCTAATTATTCTTCTTTACTCATATTCGTTTTTTTAGTAACTATTACTCTTTCTCTATGATTCTTTACATATTAAATAGAATACTTGAAATAGTTATGCTAAGCCAACATAGAGCCTGATACGTTTGATATTCTCAACTTTCAAAAACTTTTTCTGATCTTTTTCTATTGTCATCATCGATCTAATTCATCAAAAATGTAGTATATGCAAAGTGTCTCATTTCTTTATAGCCAATTAATGAACTTAAGGAATGGTAAATAAAATTGTACACAAAACTGGGAACATTGTTATAGGAGCTAAAATCTTGCGATTTTTCGTAGTTGTTTCACTAATTATATATTTATAAGACGTAAATGTTCGTTTCTTGAAAAGTTTCTTGTGTCTTTAATTCTACAGAAACAGTTTTTCTGTTGCAAATAAACTTACAAAAGAAAAGGGTATAGAAGTCAATAAAGTTTTTATAATAAGAATGCTGTTGGTACACAGTCACAGCTGCAAACCGATCAGTACTTTGAACTTTGACGCATGAATAAAGCTAACAGTAGACTGTAATTTTTTTTGAAACTCCTTTTAAGAAAATCGACTTTAAAAAAGCTACAGCATTTTCAAATTTCCATTATTCATCTGTTGAATGTTGAAAATTTAGAAAATGCTTAATTTTCTAATTCATACAAATTCAATTTGATTTTCGAAAAAGTTCATTCATGTATATAAGCCGGCCGATAGTGTTATGCATTCATTTTATTCTCCGACAATTCATGAGTTCATAAATTATATTTTTACACTTGCTCTATGAGTCAATCCGTTTTGTATGTATTTAAATTAAAATTATTTATTTATTTTATTTGGTGCATTTGTATGAATTAAATGTTTATGAGTTTATTTAAATTAAAATTAAAACTATTTAATTATTTATTTTATTGAATACATTTTGATACTTCATTATAATATGAAAATAAAATTCGATTTTCCAGTTTTTAAAAAATACTCGAATTGCTAAATTCTAGGAATGCCCATATGAATTCATTTCCGATTTTCTAATTAGAAAATAAAATTTCTTATTCTTAAAGTTTCGAATATCTTATTTTCAAAGAATTAAAAATTCATCGGTGAATTCATATGGGCATTCCTAGAATTTACTTCATTAAACTCTATAACTTATTTTGTAGTTTACAGTGTACCAACAACAGAGAAAAATCTCAATTATCGCATCTTGCTGCATTATCAGACTTTCAGAACATATTCTATATGAATACGAACGTTATACAGCATGCTTCTAAGATAAGAATGAAAGAAAAACGTGAACATTTCTAATACGTAAACCAAATGGGCTAACTTTTTAAATCAGTGATAGATCATAGGGTTCAGATATTTTCTTCTTGAAAACAACGTCAATAAATATGACTAAAAATTCATACCATTGGCTTCAAGAAATAAAAGTAGATTTTTCGAAGACTTTTAACATACAGTAAGTATGCTCATGAGAACTTCATATTTTTAGATATCACGATTTATCTAAAGTGAATCATACACGAAATATTCGTTCATGCTTCAAACTAAACTATTCTACTATATAATAAAGAAAACGTCACAAAAAACCCCGAGAACTTTTGTCTCCGGAACTGTATTAAGAGCATATAGTGTGCAGGAGATACTTTTGGAATTCATGAGAAGCTACAATGCTTTCTTGAAGACAACAGTGGTTTGATCTAAGCTGTATTTCTTAACGTTATTAGTATGAATAAAAAATATGGATCTTCTTATTCATGGACTATCATGTACATAAAGAAGTATACAGCAAATAAACATACCCTCATTGACAATATTCAGCAATCTATAAAAAATCGTTCCTTGCATTTCTTGAGCTTCGTTGTGTAAAATAAGCGATAATTTATTGATGGGTGTAATAGCTTGATCAATTTGAGTAATACTTGATTTTGAAGAGAAAAGTTGAAAGAAAAGATATTGAAATCTTTCTCCGATCGTCTCAATTGTCGACACATCATATAGATCATGAGAACAGATGAAATAACATGAAAGTCTGCTATTAACTAATGCTGGATTGTAAACAAATATCAACATGAAATCAAATTTAGCCACTTGAGATGATTGTTCTAATGACACTTCTTCTAAAGTCGCATCATTCAAAAATAAGTGATCCTTTTCAGAGGAAACAGTGATGAAATCAAACATTATCTCAAGAAAAGAAACATTAGATGCCTCAAGATAAGAATCAGCAAGAATATATTGTAATGGATAATGAGAATGTTCAAAAATTGACAAACACTGTTCTCGTACATGACTTACAAGTTCATCAAATGACCAATGAGAATTAAGTTGAATTCTATGAGGTAATGTTGCAACAAACATTCCAATTATATTTTCTAATTCACTTTTATAACGATTGGCGTTGGGACAAGTAATACACAGATCACGTTGACTATGACTTAGTTTGAAGAGAAATGCATAAAATGTAGCTAATCCTAGTTGAAATGGTGTGACTTTATGTGAAGATGCATAATTTAGAAATGCTGTCGAAATATCATTATCGAAAGAGATTTTAGCTACAGACGCACAACCAGATCGTTCATTAGGAGATGAACGATGTCGATCAATTGGTAATGAGAATCGACATTCAAAATTATATCCTTGAAGATGTTTGTGCCAAAATTCACGTGATAATGTCATATCGATTTGACGCTCATAAACAGAATAATCAATGTATTGTAATCTTTCTTCGTCGACTGGTATTATTAGGCTATTGTTATACGCTTGACATAAATCATTGTATAAAATCTCACGAGAGAATCGATCAAATGCTGCATGATGAAAAGCAATAATAAGTACATCAGAATATGTGATGAATTCGTTGTCATTATTTTTCTTCAAGGAATTTTGTAGACGAAGTATTTGACAATAAAATATTCGACCACTTGATAAATCGAATAGATTTGGATCAGTAGTTGTTTGATAAATAATATCCAGAAGTTCTCTATCATTCCTGAATGTCTGCTCAGCTGCTAATGTGAATGTTTCATGTCTGTCAGTAATATATTGTTTTAGAGTACCACTCTCGTTGTTAAATACGAGAGATGTACGCAATATTGGATGTTTAGTCAAAAGAGATCGGAAAGTACTTAATAGCCGATTTATTGATAATGAACCTTTGAAAACTTTCAAAACAATTAATTCATTGTAAATGGCCACTTTTTTTGTAAAGCGAATTTGCTCATCAAGTAGGATGCGCTCTTGAGCAAATGATGCAATACCTGAAATTTTGACAGTATAATATTCGATTGTGATTAAGTAGTAAATAGAAAAACTTGTTACCTTGAATAAGATGTAATGTATGCCATTGTGTTGACTTCATGTCACTTGTTGCGACCTTTTCAAGCAATTTTGCATGTTCAAATATAGTTGGTTGTTCAAGGAAAGAAGCAATGGAGAGTACATGGGTATCAAAGCCAAATAAAGTTTGATAGCTATGATAAAGTTTAATGAAGAGCAGCGAATGACCACCAATATTGAAGAAGCTTTTCCTAGTTGAAATTTCTTGTCCAACCCACCCAAGCACTTTACACCAAACAGTGTGGACAGTTTCCTCCATTTGACTACGAGAAACATTAAATTCATTTGTCGACTGTAAAGCTACTGAAGACATATTAGGTGTTGGAAGAAGTTTTCGATCTATTTTCCCGTTTGCATTTATAGGAAGCTTCTCCAATATGAGAAATATGGATGGAATCATGTGAGGTGGAAGATGAGATTTACAATGTTCACGTAATTGTTTTTCATCAATATTAGAGCTCTGAACATAAGCAACCAAATGATCATCACCCCATTTGATAACAACACAAGCAGCAATCGATGTGTTAAGCAAACATTGTTCGATTTCTCCAAGTTCAATACGTTGTCCATGCAACTTGATTTGATGATCTTTTCTTGTTCGATAGTGAAGAAGACCGTTGTGATCGATTCTAACAAGATCACCTGTTCGATAAAATATTTCACCATCGACCTCAATTAATATTTTTTCTGTCATATCATCACGTCCTAGATAACCAGCATAAACACCTACGCCTCCCACTAACAGTTCACCTTCTTGGCCAATAACGACTGATTGTAAGAATTCATCTAAAAGTAAACATCGATAATTCGGAAGCGGAATACCGATTCCAATGCTCTCCTCGCAGCCTGCCAAATTTATGAGGTTGAACGTAGAACTAATGGTTGTCTCGGCTGGCCCATACATATTCCATATACGACAGTTTTGAAAATCAATGTTTTTGATGTGATCCAATAGTGTCACATAGAACGATTCACCTGAAGAAATAAATTAAAAATCAATGTAAAATTTTGCAGTTCTCATTGACCAGTTTCTTACCTCCGCTGAAAACTGATCGGAGATATTGCACAGTGTCTTCGTTGCTAGTCTCCTGAACATAAGCGAAAAAGCTTTGAAACGTAGTGGGAACAAGATGCATGCATGCAATTTGCTTTTTTTTAAGGACTCTAGAGAGATATTCGAAGTCAATCGTTCCTCGTGGTTGAAGCATGACTAATGTGGCCCCAATCATTAATGTGCCTAATATTTCTTCGACATGAATATCAAATGAACATCGTGCCATTTGTACAACTGTGTCCTTCTTATTAAACGTGTCAATATGCACCAATGAATTGATATACTCAGTGAAATTTCCGTGCCGCACTTGAACCTATGAGAATAAGAGAAACTAAACAAATATGTGCAAAAAAGTTGTCTACCTACCGCTTTTGGTTTCCCAGTTGAACCACTAGTGAAGACAATATAAGCAATCTTCTCCGGCATTACGATGATGCTTGACAACAGATCATTATTGATTTCATGATTCTTGTTGTTGACCAACACCGAATCTGTATTAAGAAGAATAATGTCATTTTTGAAAATTGTCTTTGTCAACCAATGAACAAGAACAAGACGACATTGAGTTTGCTTTATTAATGCACTTAAACGATGTTCAGGATCTCGAGGTGATAATGGACAGTACACGGCGCCAATCATCTCAATCGCCATCATACCAATGACCTAGAAAATATCAATGCTTTTACTATAGTGAATACTGATTTCTTCCATCAACTTACCATGGATAAACTTCTTTCCACACATTGACAAATAATATCACCTACGTTAACTCTATATTTATTCAAAAGACTCAAAGATAATACTTGAACATAATATAAAAGTTCACAATATGTCAAAGATTGATCATTCAGCTCGACTGCTAGTTTTTGTGAATGCTTCATCACTTCATGAACAAATTCATGATGTATACAAGTAACAGAAGAAAATAATATTTGTGTGTTATTCATCGATTTCATAAGTAATTTTTCATTAGGCAATATTACTGATAATTCACAGATAGACTTGTTAATCTGAACATTTTCTATGTTAAATAGTTGTTCTAATATTGAATGAAATCGTTGTGAAATTATATCAACTGTTTTTCTATGAAATAAGTCAAGTGATGCGTCGATTCTGCATGAGAGTTGATTACTATTCGTATCATGTTGAATAGTAAGAATGAAATCGAATTTACTCATTATTTCATCTTCACCAAGCTTGATTGAAAAAGGCGTAGTAATAAGTCGAGCATTTTCAATCATCACTTCATCCTTGCTGTTTGTAGAAGTGTACGTATGAAAGTCGAATGATGTCTCAAGAAAAGCAGGCTTTGAAATACTTGGATGTTGAGCAAGAATTCGTTGAAGAGGAAAGTAGGAATACTGTAAACTGCTAGTGGTTATCTTCTTAACATGCTCAAGCAGCTGATTAAAATGCCAATGAGGATCTAGCTGACATCGCAAAGGAATAGCATTGACAAACATTCCAATCACCGTCATCAATTCTTCTTTATATCTTCCATGTGTGTTCATTCCAATACATAAATCACTTTTTCCATTAGTCAGTTTGAACAAGAATATATAATAGGTAGCAAGTGCTAGTTGTTCTACATTAATGCCGTTCGATGATGAATATGCAAGAAAGTCATGTGAAAGATCTTCACCAAAATCGAAACAGACAGATATTCCACGACCTGTTCGATGTTCATCCGAAAGACGATATCGATCAAATGGTAGCGGTAATGATTGATCAATTTTACTATCTCGAAGAGAATCGAACCAAAATACACTTGCAGCAGTCATTGGACTATGTTGTTCAATGGTAGCATCTAAACAAGAGCAAGAGAAGGTATGATTCGAAAAATAGGATAAGAAACATTTCTACTCACAATCAAAGTAACGCAGAAGAGTATTGTCATCAATCGCCAATTGACCTGTACTATAGGCGTGATTGAGATCGTGAAGAAAGACATCCATTGATGGAAAATCGAACAAAGCATGATGAAAGTTAAAGATAATTGCATCTTTATCGCAAATAGCAGCATTTGATGAAATCTCTTTGTAGTAAACAACATGACATCGAAAGACAATTCCTTGAGCAAGATCGAACAACTGAGAATTTCTTTTCTCATTATGCATTACGAGATCCAGCTCCTTATCAGTTTCGAACGTGCTTTCAATAAATTCAAACAATCTATTATTGTTCTCATTCAAGCCAATGATTCGTTGCATGAGTTGATTTTTTTCTGTAT